TAGCTTATGTCCTAACAACCAATCACATGTAATACACAGATGCGGTACAGGATTCTGTATTTCAAGAGGCTATTCTAGCTTAATCTACACGTAGTTATCTGCTCAACAATTTCTCCTTATTAAGAGTGGAACACAACCAAATTTGCGGAAAACTCGTTGATATCAACCCAAATTGAAACTGAAGCAATACACATTAGAAATTCATACATGAAGAAACTCACAGCACTCAAGAACAGAGACAAGAAGAAACGATGAAAGAAAGACAGGAAAAGTTTTATTATCATGATCTCATAGCAGTACATATGTCTAGTCTATTTAAAGACTTGGCCCACGGCCACATACTAGTCTAGATACAGGAAATGTAAATACATGATATATTATTTAATTATATCTTTGTTCTCTAAGAATACACATGCTCAAAACTTCCAGTAAAAGGTATACACTCCAGGGAGCATAGCCTGATCTTGATGTGTGGTTGCCCTTTCAAGAGTTCCCATCGCATGCCAAGTTCTTTATTTAAGCATACATCTCATAGATATTTTTATAATCATATCACGCGACTAAAAATTCCCATATTACTCGATGCTTGCTTACCCAACTACGGGGATTCTGGCAACGTTCCCCGACGAATCAACGAAGATCCGAACGCGCCATGGGATGAAATCCATGGTGACAGCTTGACCCACTTTGAGCACCTGGAACTTGGCTGTAGGCATATCTTTCCGAATCCTCTTCTCGGCCAAATCCGGCTTAAGTCCCACCACTTCCGACCACTTAACGCGGGCTGTACCATCAACGTTGATTGAGATACTCGCACTGTAACTCAAGGAAAAAAGAAGAAGAAGAACTCACCTGGAGCCATGGATACGAATGCGAAGAGGATGAAAAGGGTGAGAAGAGCCATGCAGGCGCCGGAGACTCTCTTCGGCCTCATTGCTGAGATTTCGGTGGTGATCGCCATTCCTCTTGCATTTTTAAATAGGGGAAGAGGATTATAGCAATATTATGTGTTTGAAGAAAATAAATATAATATATCAACACACGAGCTTCATGAGGACTACTGTATCCTTTTATTATTTTTGCGGCCATACTTATACAAAAAAAGAATCGGATGTATATCAATATTAGTTTGATTAAATTAATTTGACTTGATGGCAAGATGTAAGTTTCCTAATAGTTGTTGTTTACATATTGATTATATCAATAGTTTGATCACTAGCCAAGATTCTTCCCTTCTCTTTTACTATTAGTTTTGTTGCGTCCTAGAATATTCGTGGCGGTAGAGAAATATATAGTTTAATGTCTTAGCATTGCACGAAGATCCAACACACAATCAGATAAATGAGAGAGAGTAGCATTCATAAGAGACACCAGAGTTTTTACGTGGAAAACCCCTGAAAAGGGGAAAAAACCACAGGATTTGGCCCAATTTGAATGAATCCACTAGTATTTGTAGTCGATTACAAATGAGGTCCTTCCTTGCGAGAAGGCATTGAATTGGTGTAGCAAATGTACATCATATAGATTGCATTACATGGTAGGAGTTACATATACATGTTTGTTTGGTCGGAAGGACCGTAGTCGGCAGGAGACCAGTGTCAGAAAGACCGTTGTCTGTTGATGGAGGTCGGAATGACCATAGTAGGCGGCAGAGGTCAAAAGAACTGTAGTCGACAGGAGACCGAGGTCAGAAAGACCGTTGTCTGTTGATGGAGTTTGGAAGGACCATAGTCGGCGACAGAGGTCGAAATGACCGTAGTCGGCATGAGACCGGGGTCTGAAAAATCGTTGTAGTAGGGTGGCACTCTGGTAGAACTCTAGGCGTTAGGTAGTGGCCCAGCAGAAGTCCGGGCCTCAGGTGGTGTCCTGGTTAAGCACAGGGTCTCAAGTGGCTGTTCGAAGGAGCAACGACGTCAGACGGTGGTCCGGCTGAGGTGTGCGCTTCAAGTGGCTGTCCGGCGGAGCAACTACATCAAGCGGTAGTCCGACGGAGGAGAGGGCCTCAAGTGGTGGTGAGGAAGAGGTAAGTTCCTCTGGCGGAGGTGAGGGCCTCAAGTGGTAGTCCGGCATAGCAACGACGTTAGGCGGTGGTCCAACGGAGGTGAGAGCCTCTGGCAAAGGTGAGGGCCTTTGGTGAAGGTGAGGGCCTCAGGTGAAGGTGAAGGCCTCTTGCAAAGGTGAGGGCCTCAGGCGAAGGCGAAGCCTCAGATGAAGGTGAAGGCCTCAGGTGTTGGTGAG